CTACGATGGGCGCAGCGCCCTGCTCGTGGTGAGTGCCCCCCGGGCTCCAGGACCACCGCCTCCTCCAGGAAGGCCTCCCTGAAGCTCCGCAAGCCCCCCTGCCCCTCCCACAAATGCCCACACTCTCCTGGTGAACACACTTCACACTTGGGGGCCCGGGCGGGGGTGGGGAGGGATGACCCCCTTCCAGTGCCGGAGCTGTGGGGGTGAGAGTGACACATGGGCCCTGTGTGCCTGGACGGGAGGAGGCGGGGCGGGGGGCTCCTGGGCTGGGGAAGGTTGGGTGGAGTCCAGGTGGCTGGTCAGTAACCCTTCAGCAGCTCCTCCCTCGGGCCCCCTCCTGCAGGCAGAAGCCGCTGGAAACGTGGAGGTGGTGACTCTCCTACAGAGCCTCCAGGGTGGGGCTGGGGCCCTGGCCCCGGGGCCGGTAAGTCCCCCCAGGCAGGGCCGACCACTCCCAGCTGTGTGGCCGGACCCCAGCGTGGGCCAGAGCCTCTCCTGTGGGCGGGCACCCACTGTGTAGGGGGAGGTGAATATGCTGGTGGGAGATGGGAGCAGTCAGGGAGGGCTGCCTGGAGGAGAGGCCACCTCAGACCTCCTGGACTCTGTCCTGTCAACCGCCCCTGACACACCTACCACAGCCCTGGAGAGTCCGGCCGTGGCCCAGCAGGTCCTCGAGGCCCAACGGTGCTCGGGTGCCTCTGCTGCGTGTCCTGCCCGCCCTGACCCACTTACCCCAGGGCCCCCCTGACCGGGTGCCCCCCTGCCTCCCAGGCTGTGCTGGCCAGGCCCCTGCCGACAGCCCACCCACACTCCCTCCGCGGCCTCTGGAAGTTGCTCGAGGCTGGTGGATGTGTCTGGGCCTCGGGGGGCCCCTCCCGGTGAAAGCCTGGGCCTGTCCATCCGCCCTGGGCCTCAGCAGACCTCTCTTTCCAGGAAGTGCTGCCTGGTGTCTGACCGAACCCGTCTGCTGCGGCATCAGCCTCCCTCCTGTGACCTGCAAGGAGGGTCGGGGCACCCCTCCCTGTGGCTCTGACTGGTGCCCCCGCTGCCGGGACTCTGTCCATCCTGTTCCCGAGACCGGCCTCGTGTCTGTGCTGGGCGGCGTGACAATAAAGTCTCAGGGACACTCCCTCTCAGGTCCCCAGAGCCTGTGCGTGGGTCAGTCTGGGGCCCCGGGCTGTGTGTGTGCGGGTATGTGTGTGTGGGTGGCGGGGTGTG